TGGACTTTCTGGCTCGACAAGTGAGTGCGCGCGGCCTGGGCGAGCTGCGCGGGGCGGGGGAAGGGCTCTGCACGGCTCTGCGTGTGTGCGCCTGGCTGCGTGTGTCCGGGCACGACCTCCATGGCTGTGCGTGGAAGTGCACGCCTGTACGTGTCTACAGTGTCTGTGCGTGAAAGTGCATGCTTCAGTGCATGCCTATACGTGTCTACACATGTCTGTGCGTGAAAGTGCATGCTTCAGTGAATGCCTATATGTGTCTATACGTGTCTGTGCGTGAAAGTGCATGCCTATACGTGTCTACACGTCTGTGCGTGAAAGTGAATGCCTATACGTGTCTACACGTCTGTGCGTGAAAGTGCATGCTTAAGTGAATGCCTATATGTGTCTATACGTGTCTGTGCGTGAAAGTGCATGCTTAAGTGAATGCCTATATGTGTCTGGGCGTGAAAGTGCATGCCTACACGTGTCTGGGCGTGAAAGTGCATGCCTATATATGTCTGTGCATGAAAGTACATGCCTACACGTGTCTGTACATGACTTCCCTGTCTGTGCATGGACGTACGAGTCTCCACAGAAAAGTCTATACACGACTTCCCTGTTTGGGCATGACGGTCTGCATGTGTCCATGCATGAAAGGCTGTGCATGTCTGTATGTGTCTATGCATATATGTACATGCCTGTGCATGAAAGTCAACATGCCTATATATGTCTACGCCTGTCTATATATGACTCCTCTGTCTGTATATGAAAGTACATGCCTATATGCATCTATTAGTGTCTATACATCAAAATCTGTACATGACTTCCCTGTCTATACATGAAAATACATGCCTACATGTGTCTGCATGTGTCAATACATGAAAGTCTGCGTGCCTATATGTGTCTATACACATTTATATGTGTCTGTACATGACTCCCTTGTCTGTACATGTCTATACATGAAAGTCTGCATGCCTATATGTGACTATATATGTCTGTATGTGTCTATACATGACTTCCATGTCTGTACATGTCCATACATGAAAATACATGCTTATATGCATCTATACATGTCTATACATGAAAGTCTGTGCTTATCTATATGTGTCTACACATGTCTATACATGACTTCCCTGTCTGTACATGGCTATGCATGAAAGTACATGCCTATACGTGTCTACACATGTCTATACATGAAAGTCTATACATGACTTCCCTGTCTGTGCATGTCTATACATGACGTTCATGCTTATACATGAAAGTCTATACATGACTTCCATGTCTGTACATGTCTATACATGAAACTCTATTGGGGTATACGCATCTCTGCTTGCCTATGCATGAAAATCTATACATGTGTATGTGTGTCTATAAATGCTGTCATCAGGTGTTGCCACTGTTGTCGTTGCTGTTGTTCTAGTCGGGTGTTATTGATGTGTTGTCAGGGTTGAAGGCATGGGGTTGTCGGCGAAGTTGCAGCCAGGAGATTCCAGTGCCAATTTGGTCATAAAGAAGGGCCACAAGGCTCAGTCCAGTGGCAAAGATTTGGCCAGGCTTATTATCGACAAGCACAGCCCTGACACATTTGGCCTAACAAGTACATCAGACCAGGAGTTAAAACGTTTGTACCTGTGACCAGATAGTTGGCACAACACCATACAGGCTTCCCTAGGCTGCTACAAAGTTCCCATGCTTTCCAACCCTCCTTTTTACAAGGATCAAAACAAATTACGTGTTGCATT